GTAGTTTAATGTATTTAATTATGTTAATTATATATATTATAGAAGTTATTCTTGGTGGCAAATACAGAAAGTTTGCAAGCTCTTAGAGCAGGTGATACTTTGGCTGATCTGTGTCTCAGTTTGCCAGCAATTAAACGTGCCCGTACAAAAGTAGAAGAGGCTTTGGCTGGAAAACCATTCAGTTTACCAACCACACATTCTGAGGCTTCTATCATTCGGAGCAGGTAATGAGATTTTTTTTTGTATAAATAATAGAGTTAACGTATCTTTCATGTGTTTGATGCATTTAAATGTTTTTTTAAGTCTACCTTCGACAATGGCTGATATATCCCTGGCGTCCTCGGCAATCAATCTACCTGTCCTGGAGCCTTTGACGCCGAGTAAATTGGACAAACTATGCAGCTTGAGTATGGCAGTGTTGCAATGTGCAGTCGCGCAAGCTGCAGCAAACGCCATGTTATCGTTAGGACCTGCAGTGTCGCCCAAATGTACATCTGCTCAAGCACAAGCCGTCAAAGATGAAGATCTTGATGCGAACGCTGTTGCCCTCGTTGAAGAATCTCTCAACATATTCGAAAAAAAAAAATATGAATCAAGAAGATGCAAGATTAAAAGGACCTCAGATGCAATTCCAATGCCATAGGGAGATATCTCCAAAACTTGAAAAGGAATTTCAGTGCAATGAGTGTTTGCAAATGTTTTTAAGTCAAAGTTCTTTATACGAACATATGGAAACTACTCATTTAAAGACCCATATAAATCAAGAAGAAGGTGCAACATTAAAAAGACCTCAGATCCAATTTCAGTGCCAGGATTGCTCACAATCATTTGGATCAAAAACCTGGTTGACAAGACACATATTAACTACTCATAGGAAGAAAATTCCAAAACTTAGAAAGCAGTTTCAATGCGATATTTGTGTGCACAAGTTTTTAAATGAAACTGGCTTACGTAAACATGTGGAAACAAGACACTTAAAGATTACTGAAACCAAACCAAATAATAATCATTTACAATGTCACATTTGCTCAAGATTTTTTACTAACAAATTGACATTTTCTAATCATATAAACAAGCATAAACAAAAAATGTTTATCAGCAAATCATCACATGTTTTGTTTAGTATGGAAATGAAGGTACAGTCGAGCAATGAACAACTACAATGTTATATTTGCTACAAAAATTTTAAAGTTAAGCAATCTTTAACTAAGCACTTAACAAAACACATGAAAATGCCTCCCTATCGAACAAATAAAAAACAATTGATGGGAGATTCACATTCAGATACCACACAATTTGAATGCAAAATATGTCAAAGATTTTTGAAGACAAAAAAGAGTTTGAATGCTCATCTAATAAATATTCATTTAAATGAGAAATCATATACATGTAAACTTTGTAAGAATACTTTTGTTGATTTGGCAGCTTATTACATTCATTATAAATCAGCACATAAATGAGTTACAGAAAATAATTTGCAAGATAACAATTAATAAAACATGAATTATCAGTTGTAAAGAATCCAACATAAAAAATGTATATTAATGTTAGACAATGGTACACAGTTTTTTAGTGTTANATTAGACTGTTCTATATTTTTGTTTAGGAATCAAAAATGTTTAGCTGTTAAATCAATTAAATGAATAATTAGGCAAAAAGTAGACGACTATAAGGTATTTTCACGAATTACAGTATGAATTAGTACCATTTACTGTTTACATAAATACGAATATGTATAGGAATTAAAGAAAAAAATGATCATACTTTTATGACTTTTTGGGCAAGCTAGAAAAAAGACTTGCAAATGTGGAGAATAGGGCTGAAGGCCCTTTTTGGTCTCATTTTAGGGTGAAGAGACACAGGTGAGACGTAAGTAATGAAGACAGAAAAGAAATTAACGATTAAGTGTATAATATTATTAGTGCCCCAGAATTATCCTAAATGATCCAAGAAAACAATAGAAAAGTTTCCTGGTCTTTTCTGAGATCTGTTTGGATCATATATGCAATTTTTGAAGCAATAATATTGTACATAGAATCTTTAATTTCTTTTCTAACTTCATTGCATCTATCTCAGCTGTTCCTCCCCAAGCACTATTACCCATCCATTCTCATGTTTTCAAAAGGGAGACTAAAGAGAGTCTACCGCTTTACCCTCCAGCTTTGCACCAGAGTGTTGGTTGGAGGAATTTTCTGCCCACTTGCTGTGTTACTTTTTTTAATCTTTCAACTTAATATTTGCGCTCATCTATATCCAAAAGTTAGACCGGGTGTTTACGTTAGAAAATATTTCAGTTCAAACATTTTTTTTTTTTTCAAACGACTCAAACAGATACTTAGAAACAATGAATGAATTTTTTACTAGTTTTTTCTCATGAATGAATAAATAATTTACGGCCAATGCATGTCATGTCAGTACTTAACTTCAAAAAGAATCAATTTTACCCCCAATTTCTTGGAATAGTCAGTGGCTATAGTAGGGAATGTTTCTGATTCACTCTGTAAAAGCTGCAACTTTAATTCTAATCATATCGTTTTGTTTTTTTTGAGTATCAATTTACTTAAGTACAAAAATACATTAGATTTATATCTTTAACGGAACTCGATACAAAATTATTATAAACTTTAAATCCTATACTTAAAAAAGAATATGAAAGAATGGTACGTCCTGCTTCTTCACAGAGAACTTACAATGATAAATACCTACATCTTTTGTTGATTAAAGCAGTCCGTTACGGTAAAAGATATTAAGCAAACTATTTTTTATACTTACAAGAGTTAAAGCAAAATAGAAAAGTAATTAAATTTTTCAATTACCAAATAGCAATTAATAACTCGTAAAAGTTGTTTCGAATAAGTAATGTAATTAACCGTCATAATAAAAATAGCAATTGTTCAAACAATATTTTAACGCCTTAAGTACCGTTATGTGTTAACAAAAGCTCGGTGGTGAATTAAAAAAAATAATCGTGAATATTAGCAAAATTTATGTTTAAAAAGCGCCAAATTTGATTTATTTAACTAACGATTAGATAAGATGTTATACTTATAAAATTAATGATGGTATTATGTTTCTAAAAATAAATGAAAATATTATCATCTATAATAATTTTTTCTTTAAGAAAAGCAAAATCAGATGATCTTAAGAAGTCGCATATATAGGTGTTTAGTTGTAGCAATTGATTGTTTCACTTTTGCTCTACAAAATAGTAGATTCAATTATGATTAGAAAAAACAATCAGCGCGCAAAAAGCTGCCAGGAAATCTACCTTTTTTAATTAGATTTTTAAGATGAAAAGTGTTCATTCTTAATCTATTTGAAAAAAATGTGTAAAAAAGGGTAGAAGTACAAAGTGCAAGATAAATGTGCAAATAATAAACAAATGGTTGGAATAACTGTTATTAGGTGAGTTTATTTGTCAAGGAAAAACGTAACAACGTTACTGGATTTTTTGATTTAGTAACTTTTCAGAATTTTTACAAAACAGTTATTTCAACTTTGGGCCCCATTATCGTTATTCATTACTTTATTGTTCATTTTGTTAGTGTCCTTTTTGTCTTTAGATGATGATGATCAATAAATAATGTGCGTGTTTCTAATAACGTTATGTTTCATTCAATCATCATCGGAAGCTGAAACGACGATAAAGCTAAATTAAAAGTTTTTTGTTAGTTTCCAATTTTCTAACTAACGATGAGCATTTTGAGATTAATTTTTTGTTTATAAAAATAGATGTTTTTTTCTTTCTTTCTACTACCTAAATACCATTTCATTTTATTGTAATTCGTAGAAAATGAGAAAATTCAAATAATCAAACTGGAACAAAAAATATGCGTTCTTTAGTTTTCCTTTTATTGAATGTTAAAAGAAAACGAAATTAAGGACCAATTGTTTGCAGGATTTTTGATAATTTTAACTACCTTGGGCTTTATCTCCCAAAGTATTTTCAAAAACAATCAAATGCTTTTAGCAATACCATATTCAAAGAAAAGCTCCTGCATGTACCGCTAAACAGCAAGTACGTATGTAAAATGGGTTGCATAACTAAAACTAACAATTGTAGCTAATTGAAATTTTTTCGGGTCAACCGAAGTAAAACGAAATTAAACGAACTTCAAGTACCATAGGTAAAACGTAAACTGAATAGCAAATCATAGAACGGTGCAATATGTTTGATTTATCTATAGTGGTCATTCATTCATAAAGGATCCGTGAATCCATAAAAAGATGAATGAATTTCCATAAAAGTTTTGTTGTTAAATGTTTTATAGTACAGTCATCAATAGTCACCCTGTCAATTTATAAGTTTACAAAACTCTAATTATTGTAATAGTAAAAATCAAATTTTGATTTATTTTTGTATTATGCAGATTGAGAGAAGCAGGCTTTCATTCATAATAAGTAGAAGTTGCTATTAATTAGTGCGAAATTAATAGAATCAATTTAAATTGTGATTGTGTTTCTTTGTTCGAAATTTTAAAATGTGTCGTATTTCTGTGCAAGTTAAAAGTTGTGATCAATAGTAACGTTTCTAAACTACTTTTTAAGTAGAAATTTTTGTCGAAAAAAACATTATTTTGGTTGGTTTTTAAATAATTGTGGGATTTGCTGTTTACCGTTAAAACTATATGATGTCCGCAAGTGGAAGTATTGGAAGCCCTAGCAAAGAATCTCTTTCAGGCACAAGTAGTTTGACTGGGGGTGAAGACCTTCCTAGGGACTTTAGTAGACTGTCATTATTCTCTACCACATCTACTACCTCACAAGATGAACAGTTTCGAAGTGAGGGCCATGCAGAACATAGTCTATCTTGCATGCAACATTATTTACAAGCAGGAAAGCTTTGTGATGTAGTGCTAATAGCTGGGAATAATGGACGGAGGGTTCCAGCCCACAGGTATGATCGTTATTTGTTTTTTCATTTTTTTTCTTTGTTAACTATTTTTACAATATATTAATACATATTTCCATTTAGATTAGTTTTATCTGCTGCCAGTGAATATTTTTCTGCCATGTTCACTTGCAATATGAGGGAAACAGCTGAACCGGAAATAACCCTTCAAAACGTGAATGGGGATGTGCTATTTGCCCTTGTTAACTACTGTTATACTGGTAGTATTGAGATACGAGAAGACAATGTTGAAACATTGTTAGCTACAGCCTGTTTGATGCAACTGCGTGAGGTTACCGAAGCCTGTTCGCGCTTTTTGGCTCACCAATTACATCCCAGTAACTGCCTTGGTATCGCCGTTTTTGCCGAACACCAGAACTGCATTAGTTTGTTACAGCAGGCCAATGCTTACACCAGTCAACATTTTGTGCAAGTAAAGTGTTTCAAATATATTCTTTTAATCCATTGATCATATTTTCCTTTGTCTTATTAAAAAGGTTATAAGAAACCAGGAATTCCTTCAGTTGAGTGTAGACCAGATAAGCGCGTTGCTATCCAGCGATGACCTTAATGTGACTTCAGAGCAGCAGGTGTTTCATGCCCTAATGAGCTGGATAAATCATGAAGCGGTGAATAGAAGAGTTTATCTGGCTCGCCTTTTGGCTTTAGTGAAATTGCCCTTGTTGGAGCCTGCGTTTTTGGCTGATCAGGTCGAGCCTGTTGTCGATTCAGACCTGACGTGCCAAAAACTAATAATGGAAGCGATGAAGTGGCATTTACTACCTGAAAGAAGGTCTCTAATGAGTACAACACGTACTAAACCTCGTAAAGCTACTCTTGGTAGACTTTTGGTTGTGGGGGGCATGGACAAAACTAAGGGTGCTACCACCATAGAAATTTACGACCCCAAGAGCGACAGCTGGTCTGCAGGGTATCACATGAGTGGACGTAGATTACAGTTCGGCATTTCACTTATGGGAGACACCAAGTAAATTACATAAAAAAAGTTACAGATTTTCTTATTACATTTTGTTTTTAGACTTCTTGTTGTGGGCGGAAGAGATGGGCTGAAGACATTAAACACTATGGAATGTTTGGATCTGGAGACAAGTACGTGGACTCAATTGTCGCCCATGAATACTCATCGTCATGGCCTGGGTGTGGCCGTTTTGGGTGGACCCCTTTATGCAGTAGGTGGACACGATGGATGGAGCTATTTGAATACTGTAGAAAGGTATACTGTGCAACATTCAAGGAGTAATTATTAATTGCTTAAAATCTTTTATCGCTAGGTGGGATCCAACAGCACGGACGTGGAGTCTCGTTGCGCCGATGCAGAGTCAACGCTGCTCGGCGGGCGTAGCTGTGCTCAGTGGTAAGTTGTACGCTGTTGGTGGCCGTGATGGAGCGTCTTGTTTGCGTACAGTCGAATGCTACGATCCTCACACAAACAAATGGACAATGTGCGCTTCAATGTCGAGAAGAAGAGGTGGAGTAGGAGTTGCTGTCGCCAACGGGTACCTTTACGCAATGGGAGGTCAAGATGCGCCAGCCAATAATCCTGCAGCTTCACGGTTCGACTGTGTGGAACGATACGATCCAAGTAATGCGTTTTTTTTTTCTTATAACAAGGAATACAGTCAGACGGCATTTATTCTTTTACACCTTGTATACCATAGAAACTTTGATTAAAGACAGAAGAAACAACTGTTTACTAAATTATTCGTGTTTGTGACAGGTACGGACACGTGGACCATTGTGGCCTCCCTCTCTAGTAAAAGAGACGCGGTAGCAGCTTGTCTTTTTGGCGACTGTCTGATCGCCGCCGGTGGATACGATGGAAACAATTATCTGCGCTCGGTAGAAAAGTATGATCCTCGTAATAATGAGTGGACAAAGTTAGCACCTTTGATATCTGGTCGTGCGGGTGCTTGTATTATATCTGTCGGCAACTGTGCAACAACCCAGCAACAGATGGATAATACCAGCAGTACAGCGCAGTATAAAGTTACGTAAGGGAATTCCAGAATCTGAAATATGTTTTCTTCGCCTCTGTACTGTTCATGGCTTCATAAATACGGTTTGAGAAGAAAGGTAAGTTGAATGTTAACAATGTGATAAATTTTTTTTATTTAGTTGTTACTGATAAATAATTTAGCTGTTGTATAACATAACAGACAGCTATTTTCCTTTTTTTTTTTAATAAATTAGGTGTTTAGTGAACTGTGTTGGTCAAAAGTTCTTTTGGTGGTATAAGTAACAAAATTTTCTTTGAGGGAAATAGGTGTCTTTAAGAGAACTTGGTAATTTTCAGTGACCTGTTTCCACAGTTCTTCTTCTCCATCTGCAAGTTCTTCCACTTCCTCTTGTTTTGCCAATCATCTACACTTTTTCTAATTTCCTTTTCCTGTTTTTTTTATAATGCTGGCTTATTTACTTGCAATAGAACATTCAAACATTTAACATTTATAAAAAATGTAACGACAGACTAATTTTGAAGACTGTTTTAATGTCGTGTTTATTTCTTCATAAATTATGTTAAACTAAACTGTATTTTTAGCATTTAACAACTTAAGTAGAATTTTCAGTATTATTTTTCAAAAATTCCGTTTCAAAACCCTGTTGTAAGTCTTAAGGTATAGTACTAAAATAAAGGACCACAATAATAGCGTTAGGGTTATATTTTAAAACGATTCTACCCCTTAATAATGGTAACAGTAACTTAAACAAATATAAGCTTGTTTTTGTATTGTTTAAGTTACCATAGTTAATTTCGGAGTAAAACGAGCTTTACATAGTTGTAAGTATATAAAAGTAGTGATGCATTTCTTTTTGTAATTATACACTATAGAAAAAACGAAAATAGTAAAGATAAATATTAATTGTAGGGTACAAGGCATTTGTGATTTATACACACACTTCTTGATGTGAAAGGTTTGTGATAACAATAAATTATTTGTACTTTTTTAGTTATATTCCTCTTTGAGAAACTAGCATAGGATGCCTTTCCACACCATTCCCATATTTTTTAAAAATATAAAATGCTATTCTTCGTTCGGTTCGGTCTATTTGCAGTTGAGGAATAGAAAGCCAAAAAAAAACTTTTTAGTTAGAGATTGCTACTTTCTGACATTCGATATTAATAATTCCAGAATAAATCAATAAAACACTGAAGGCCAGTCCAATACACATGTCAGTATAAATAATCACAGTGCTATTCAAATGCAATAATAGAAAAAGTTAAAAGTATTTGATTTAATTTTGAAGCAGTATAGTTAGGACAAATCTTTATATTGAAAATAGAAAATTAAGAATGAAAATATTGAAATGAACAATTCATTCGTATAAGTGTTAAGCATCCTTAAATTTAACTCATTCATTCAGTATTGTTGGCTGTATGAATGTGTAGTATTTTTATTTATTTTTTTTTTAATTTTCGTTACTGATTTTAAATTGTTTTTACTCACATTATCATTATTTTATTTTCTTAATTCTAAATATCTATATTGAACCGACCAAGCTAGAATACAAATTTGTGATTTGAAAAATCTTGATTTTACGATTTGTAAAATTCAATCGCAAAAGAAAATAAGCTATTTTGTAATAATTTTAAACGTAAAACATTGGATACACGCAACCCAACATGCACCCGTGTATGCTCACATTGAATGTACATGTATAAGCTTATTTAATGAATTTGAATTGAATTTTTTGTTAATTACAATTATGATAAAAAAAAGTTATGTAATAATTTATTGCTCCTTAATTTTTATTGATTGATACAAGTCGAAGCTTATTTATAGGTCATGAACGTTATGTAAGATCATAGATCATAGCAGAGGTAGTAAGATATTTCATGTAAGTAACTTAGCCATGAAGTTAGCTCTCAGTTCTTTTATGAAGTGGCTATTGGTACAAAACCCGAATTGGAACCCTCAAATCTGAATTTTTATTTACGGTGACTTTCGTAACCACATCATAACCATGAAGAGCATGGCCAAAAGGTACACAGTTTTTTAGTGTTATTTAAAGAGAGATTTTATTTCCTTAAGTATAAATTCACAGTTTTCAAATCGGCCTTTGAACTAATAACCACTTCCAAAAATAACATAACCTATACTAATTTTGAAATATGTCAGACAGTTTTGTTTTATCGTTTGAAATAAATAACGAAAACAAAATAAGAAAAGTAAAATTATTAATACAAACAGAGGTATTCTTATTATTATCATCATAAAAATTTCTTGTCGAATTGATATTAATATAATAATAACGTTTTAGTACAAATTTATGGGCTTAAAAGAAAGAAACAGCTTCTATAAATTAAACCTGTGAATACTCTGAAAATTGATAAGATTCAAATAAAACTAAATGCTAATATATAAAATGATTTTGTTTTCTAGAAATAACACAAAAATTGGTATTTTGGATACATATTAATGATCGGCATGAATAGAGATATGAATCAAGAAGGTGGAAAGGTAAAAAGGCATGGGGTCCAATGTCACAATTGTTTACAATCATTTGGATCAAAAACCTTGTTGTCAAGACACATAGTAGCTGCTCATGGGAAAGAAATCCCAAAGTGTAAAAAGGAATTTCAATGTAGAGTTTGTTTGCAGATGTTTTTAACTCAATATGCACTATACAAACATAGGAGAACAAATCATTTAAAGTCAAATATTAATCAAGAAGATGAAATATTCGATAGATCCCATATCCAATTCCAATGCCAGGAATGCTTACAATCATTTGGATCAAAAACGTGGTTGACAAGACACTTATTAACTGATCACGGAAATGAAATCCCAAAATATAGAAAGAAATTTCAATGTAAAGTTTGTTTGAAGGTGTTTTTAACTAAATATTCACTAAACAAACATAGAACAAATCATTTAAAAAGATCTCTGATGAAATTCAAATGCCAGAAATGCTTACAGTCATTTGGATCTAAAAGTTGGTTGTCAAGACACTCATTAATCACTCATAAGAAAAAACCTCGAAAATTTAGAAAGAAATGTAATGTTTGTTTGCAAATGTTTTTTAGCCGAAGTTCTTTATATAAACATATAAAAACAACTCATTTAAAAACAAATATAAATCAAGAAGATGCAAGATTAAAAGGACCTCAGATGCAAGTCCAATGCCATAGGGAAATAGCTCCAAAACTTGAAAAGGAATTTCAATGCAATGTGTGTTTGCAAATGTTTTTAAGTCAATGTTCTTTATACGAACATATGGAAACTACTCATTTAAAGACCGATATAAATCAAGAAGAAGGTGCAACATTAAAAAAGCCTCAGATCCAATTCCAGTGCCAGGATTGCTCACAATCGTTTGGATCAAAAACGTGGTTGACAAGACACTTATTAACTGATCACGGAAATGAAATCCCAAAATATAGAACCGAATTTCAATGTAAAGATTGTTTGAAGGTGTTTTTAACTAAATATTCACTAAACAAACATAGGAGAACAAATCATTTAAAAAGATCTCAGATGAAATTCAAATGCCGGAAATGCTTACAGTCATTTGGATCTAGAAGTTGGTTGTCAAGACACTCATTAAACGCTCATAAGAAAAAACTTCGAAAATTTAAAAATAAATGTAATTTTTGTTTGCAAATGTTTTTAAGCCGAAGTTCTTTATATAAACATATAAAAACAACTCATTTAAAAACAAATATAAATCAAGAAGATGCAAGATTAAAAGGACCTCAGATGCAAGTCCAATGCCATAGGGAAATAGCTCCAAAACTTGAAAAGGAATTTCAATGCAATGTGTGTTTGCAAATGTTTTTAAGTCAATGTTCTTTATACGAACATATGGAAACTACTCATTTAAAGACCGATATAAATCAAGAAGAAGGTGCAACATTAAAAAAGCCTCAGATCCAATTCCAGTGCCAGGATTGCTCACAATCGTTTGGATCAAAAACGTGGTTGACAAGACACTTATTAACTGATCACGGAAATGAAATCCCAAAATATAGAACCGAATTTCAATGTAAAGATTGTTTGAAGGTGTTTTTAACTAAATATTCACTAAACAAACATAGGAGAACAAATCATTTAAAAAGATCTCAGATGAAATTCAAATGCCGGAAATGCTTACAGTCATTTGGATCTAGAAGTTGGTTGTCAAGACACTCATTAAACGCTCATAAGAAAAAACTTCGAAAATTTAAAAATAAATGTAATTTTTGTTTGCAAATGTTTTTAAGCCGAAGTTCTTTATATAAACATATAAAAACAACTCATTTAAAAACAAATATAAATCAAGAAGATGCAAGATTAAAAGGACCTCAG